TGTATTTTGTAAGGTTTACTCTATCGAATCGTTACTTGAACTCCTTGGATTGATATGAAAGGTCTAAAAAGTCGCGAAACTTGACCATATCAAAAAGCATAGATCGCAAATTTTGGTTATTTTCTGAAAGCTCATTGACTGCCTTGCAACACTTTCATAACCATTAGAAAGAGAATGAAATGCTGTATCGAATGCTTCCAAGATCTCTTAGAACTAGAGATGCTGTTAATATTAGGCTGTCCGGAAATTAATGCCCGTTTTGAATTACAAACGCAATAGGTCATACACTTCTCACTTCTAAATAGGTTGCAAAGTACCACTCGATAGAACAAAGCAAGCTCTACAAGATGGCCATTTTGCTTCTGCAACAGCTCTTCCTCGGGGACGTTTGGCTTCGCGAGGAATCCACTCAGATGTTCTCAGTGTCCATCTATCGTCTGTTCTGTTCTTCTCATGATGTGACCGGCCCATCGGTGTTTCGCTTTCGCAACGTATTCCGTTGGGTCACGAAGACGGGACGTTCTTCTCATATCCATACTGCAAAGTCCGACTAGATGTTGCTTGCGTCGGGTCATCTTCAGAAGACTGCGCTCGAGCGCTCTGTGGGTGGTCCGTAAAGGTTTCGACGTGGCTACGGTGTTGGCCCAAGTCTCAGCTGCGTAGCAGAGCGCTAGGAGAACGGTAGAGTCGAGCAGGTGGGCACGAAGCTCCGGGTCAGTTGGTCGGTGGCTTCCTTCAGATGCCCGAAGGCGGCCCAGGCTGCTCTTCTTCTCCTGCTAAGTTCTTCCCTCAAGTCGTTCTCCATGTTCATCGAACGTACGAGATACACGTAAGAAGATGTCTCCATGATAGGGGTGCCTTCCAATTCCATTTCTGCATCTTCGCAAAGGGCGTTCTTCATGAACTGAGTCTTCTTCCAATTTATTCGCAGTCCGATCTTCTTCCCTACTTCGTTTAGTTCCTTCAGCATCGCCTCTGCTTCAGTGATACTGCTCGAAAAAAGGACGATGTCATCCGCAAAACGAAGGTTGGATAGGAATCTCCCATCAACTCGTATGCCTCTCTCTTCCCAGTCTAGTGACTTATCACCCACTGCAAGGCCGCGGTGAACAGCTTCGGCGAAATAATGTCGCCTTGTCGAACCCCCTTCCCAACTGGAATGGTTAAGGGGCGATGGAATAAATACATCGTTGCTGTACAGTCCTTGTAACAGTCGGCTAGTGTCCTCACGTAAGCTGGTTCCACTCCTTGATCGACTAGCGCAGACAGGATGGCTTTGGTTTCGACGCTGTTAAAGGCTTTCTCGTAATCGATGAAGGTTAGGACGAGAGGCAGTCGGTACTCCCGGCAGACTTCTATGACCCTCGAAACCGCCTGTAAGTAGTCGAGGGTCATGCAGCTGATGGACGGTTCTTGACGTTCTCCACTGGTCGGGAATCCTCTCCTTCTGAAAGTAAGATGTCAGGTGCGACGCGAGAATCTCGTGTAGACGCTGTCCTCCGGCTCGCAGAAATTCGACGGAAAGATGCTCTGGTTCTGGAGCCATGGATGTCTTCATGGTCTGAATCGCCATACGCACTTCAGCAGGTAGAATTCGTGGCGGTACTTCTCCAGTGGGAACAACGGGCATCGGCACGGGTGTGGATGAGCGGAAGAGGTTGGTGTAGAAGTTCTTCGCGATAGATTCCATCTTGTGTCGGGAAGAAGTCGGAGTCCCGTTTTCGTTCAATAGTGCAGCCAGCGTACGTGATATTCACAGAGGTCCCTTCGGCATTTCTTAAGACTTCGTCTTCCTTCGGCTGCTTCCAGTATCTTGGCTTGCCTGTACTTCCTGAGATCCTCCTGCATAGCTGTTCTGCAACTGGCGTTGGCTATCAGTCGCTCGAGATGGGTTGCATTCGGATCCTGCCTCGGAAATCTCCTTCTTTCGAGCAATTCCTTGGCGGTCTTCGAAATACGTTTCAAGTTCTTCTCAGAAGTCACTGAGGCACATTCTCCGCAGGCTCGCAATCCTTTCAGAAGCCGGTCGTAGTCGTACGTTGGGTCCTCCTCGATGGGCCAGTCACATCTTGATATGAGCTCCTCCAGCCTGTTACCGTCATAAACGACTTCCTTCCTTCTCGCAGCACTGTGACAGACTTTCTTTTCCAGCCTTCGGCTGAGTCGTATCTTCGCTCGAAGGAGGCGGTGATCGGAGCCGCTGTAGAAGGATGGAACTATTGAGACATCGAGCAAGCTCCACCTTTAGTTGGTGAGAATTTGGTCGATCTCCGCGTGAGTCGTTCCGTTGGGCGATTCCCATGTCACCGGCGATGTTTTTTCTTCATAAAGATGGAATTACCATGGAAAAGTCGTGCGGCGGAGAGAAGCCCAACAAGACGGTTGCCGTTTTCGTTCCGGTGCCCATAAACTTCCCGATCCTATATTTCTTTTCTAGTGGCATCCCGATTTTCGCATTCCTCGTCCACGTCTTCTAGAAAGCATCTAGTTCAGAGTCGTCAGCAGGTGATGTTGGAGAGTAGCAGTTGATGATGCTGGTGGTCTTCTGACGTGGAGGGCGTAGTCGTAGAATGCCTAGTTGAGGTGATAGGCTCTTGTGTGAATCCACAAGATGGACGATAAATGGGATGACGACAAAGCCAACGCCTCCCAAGTTTTGTGATAGAACTTCTCACCACGAATGATGAGCGTCCCATCACTCATCGGTCGCACGTCCTTCTTCCTGGACTACGTTTCCTGCAGAGCGATGATGTGGTAGTACTTAATGTGCTCTGCAGCGTCGAGAAGAGCGTGGAGGTCGGCGTTGGCGGAGACTGTCCTGGCGTTATAGGTGTAGAGCATGAGGCAGTCTCCATGGCGTGTCGTCCGGGAAGAGTGTTGTTTTTGTCCGATCCGAAAGGCACCCTGACTACCCTGACACCGTTCTTGCTACCACCCGGCGGCGTAGGTGGATTCGATGTACAGGCTTTCTAATCTTCTAACTGGTAGAGTAATAAATTCTTACCCTACAAGAGCAGACTTACCAGGCCAACTCTTGATTTCCACGGGGCGATCGCTGACCTCGGGCTTGAAGCGGGAAGAACCGCCTAGCGACCTGAAAACAGACGGCGGTGGATCTGGCCTCTTCATTACTGTAGGATTACGATAAGAACTTCCAGCATATGGAACCAATGTGAATCATACCACCTAACAAAATTTTATTCAAAAAATCTGAAAATTCGTGTACGAGGATTTTCGCGCATGTGATTCCACCTAACAACTTTTTACGAGTGTTTTCAGCTTTTTTAATGGTGTAATTACATTTCTGACAAATGCTGGGAATTTAGTTATCATGATTTGTCAGGGATAACTCTAGAAAAAGGCATCACAGTAAAATGGGAATTTCAAATTCGAAATCAGCAGCTCCCACACCATAGTATAAGAGTTTTTGGCTTGTTTGATTTTGTTCCGAGGCAGAAGATAGCTTCCAATGGCCTAAAATCCTTGTCAATGTTCGTAACGTGATCTTACAGTAATAAAGAAGCGATAGATGATTCGCTCCATACTGTAATTTGAATTTCACCTCAAACCATCTTGCAGTTTTTCCTAACGTCGCAAGGCCGTAAAGGTTTGAAGAAAATGACGTTTTTGAATCCCTGTTAAAAACAATCGAGATGTTCTAATAGAAGATTTATATTATTTTGTGAGTACTAAATGAGTAGTGAGTACTCAAGAATGTCCATTGCTAGCATCTAGTATATAAAACTTATTACATACTCTTGATGACTTACATAGTCTTGATGACACATGTTGACGTTTAACGAGTTTGTGCGATCACACATATAGACACATGGGATTTTACGACAACTTGATTGGTCAGGCTTTCCATAAGCTCATGCGACGAGTTCTTGTGTGAGTAGTGTTTCTAGTGTTTCTCCATTACAATATTCGCTGGTGATTAACCGAATCCTTTGAACGAGCTACGTGGCCATAATCATATAGCTTAAAGATAAGTCAGTGTAATCATGCACAATCTATTCAGTGAATGTTCTGCAAATTAAGTCAACATTTCACAGTCTTTTTTGGCTTCATAGATGGAAATCGATATATACCCCGGCTAAAAATGTCCATTGCTAGTAACTAGTTTACTTAGTAAAAATAACTGATGATTTTTACGACTTAGTAAAAATAGCTGATGATTTTTATGAACGTTCATCTATTGTGCAGGTACACATATGGACACATGGAAGTCTACGACAAGTTAGTAACTCAAGCTTTTCGAAAGTTTTCGTTACCAACTTCTCACTCTAACAAACCGGTACTTAGCTATACTTCTGAGCAAAAATTTTGTACATCATGAGCAGTGATGTTAAATTAGCTTATGCTTTTGGAAACTAATAACCAAAGAAGCACCACAGAACATATGTAATTTTGTAATCAAGTTGATAAGCAGATTGACCTAGCTGAGTAACAAGGCTACTCTACCTAGAAAAGCATTTTTTTGTTAGGATATGCTTGCTTTTACTCTATTACTTCCTACTGTGCTTTAGATGTAACATTTGTGATAGGTAAGTAAACAAGACTCTGAACCTAGTCTATGCTTACCTTAGCCTTATTTGAATTGTGGTCAAATTGACAGTACCTACGTTGTTTTCTGATGACAATATAACTTCGGTTGCGGGAAGGTGTTACCAAAGAATAGCACGTTAGATGACAAACAAGAGGTTTGGAGTAATAAGAAGGAAGAAAAAGGAGGATATTGAATAACTAAAAGGTGGGTTCACAAGTACTTTATAGAGAATTTTCATATCATTACTATCAGTTTACGGTCACCTAGGTTTATCATTATTACTCTAGAACTTTCTTACCTTTTCTGGAGATAGTAAATATTTTAGAACCTATAGTAGGTTGCATAGAATGGGCTTTTGCTCAATTTCCAAGATCCTGTAACTCCCTTTCATACCTACTCTTGGTACTTTGAGCAACTTTGAGTCTTTTGGGAACATACCTCTAGCAATTTTTTAATTGTAGGCCACGGCGATTTTGCGCTGGAAGTTTGCGCTCATCAAGTAATCATGGTGACGTTGGGATACGAAAAACTGAAAAGTTGGATGAGGCCTTGTTGTTCACATTGCAAGATTTCAAACTTACTGCCATATTACAAGAACCGTTCTTGTTCACGTATAAGATATCCGCAGCAATGAGATCTCTTTCCAAATCGGAAAGAAGCTTCGAGTATCCAATTTTGTCGAATAGCAGTTGCAAAGACTGAATTTTGGACTGTCCGAAGGGTAGTGGTAAATTAATTACCTATAAAACTCTCACATATAATGCAGTGACATGAATGTAATAGGCTTAACTTATCAACAACCAACTGGTACGACACATTCTGCGTACCAGTTCAAGTTCCTTGACTGTAGCATCCTGCTGGATTTTTAGTTGATTGACTGCTGAGCCGAGAGATACCAAAACAGTACTCAACTCAGCGCTGAGCTGGTGGTCGCCTTTCAGAATCGAACGCATAGTAGCAGCTAGGTCGTTAGAAGACATGATGATTGAATTGAATCGAATAGAGATATGCGCTTTTTATACTGTTGGGACCAACTTGTAAGGCATTTTGACGCGCTGAAAGTTAGTTTTGGGCGGTGAGGGTCCTGAGTTCCCGCCATGACCAGTGGAAGATCATTAGTATAGCTCAAATATTTAGAAGTTCTGTTCTTTTCACATGTACAAGTTTTGTACATACATGATGGCGTAGGGATTTAAGCAATCTTTTACTCTTAGTTTGCAAGCCCATGAGGCACGTAGTTGACAGAATGAACTAGCGAGTAAGGTGATCTGCAAATAGGCACCTTTTTTCCTCATTTTTGAATCAATACATGTTGTCCAAACTCCATGCATTAAGAGCTGGAGTAGGCATAAGGCCTGCAGTGGACAACAGATAAAGCATATCATTCCCGTACTCATTTTGCCCTACATTTCTTTGTGAATATTGTAATTAGTTTTACATGAGTTGCTACCGGAACCCGTTGGTAGCCTTCCTTATTCTTTAAAAGATAATTAATCCAGCTTTTATAAAGGAAGCCAGTGTGACAATCAAACTCTAAGATATGAACGTTTATCTCGTTAGTACACAGTGCTCCCAAATCAAGAACCTAATTGAATGTTGTCCACCCTCTAAGCATTAAGAGCTAGAGGAGTCAAAAGGCCTTCCGTGGTGCAACGGTAGAACTTCGGTCAAATTAGTTTTACGATCGTCATACAAACCAAAGTATACCACCATAAATTCTATCAAAAAATTTTACAGAGGTCCGTGTTCCATTGCATATAGGAAAAGGTCATGCAAAATCAACTAATAATGTAAAAGTAAACAATAATAACAGATCTGAAAGAAAAATGATATCAGTATCACAACAATATAGGGGATAAAAGGATAATTAATAAATAATTAATACGTAATATATACATATAAGAATGCAAAAAAGCCTAGATATATTCATTACATACACATACATTAAAACTACATAGAGGCATACACATACAAGTACATACAGGCATACACTTGCACACACATGCACATAGATACAGATAACACGTACATACAACGCGAATAACAAATAATAACAATATTAATAACATTAGCAATAACAATAACAACAAAAGTAATGACAATAATATCAGATTGTCTCATAAGTTCCGTCCGTTTTGATTTTCATTCGCAATAAATCATGAGCTTTTCGTTCCTATATAGGTTTCAAGGTACCGTTCGATAGAGCGAATCAAGCTCTACAAGATGGTTATCTCGATTTTGCATCAGCTCTAACACATTTCGAGTTTTAAGGCGAAAACTAAAAAGATTCAACTGCCCGAAAAATCGGGAAAAAATCATAACTTTGTTTTAAAAAATTCTGCAAAAATTCTAACTTGCTCGCGTAAACAGTATCCATATAACACATTTATATACGCCACTGCCGTGTTTTTTCCTTGGCTAGAAATCAAGAAAACGAAGATTTTCATGTTTTTGCCAAAGGATGCTGTGATGTCCCTACCTAGATAGTTGTATACTACTAGCCTGTAAAAGTGCAAACATAAATTTTCAGCTCTCTACAAGCTTTGGTTCTCGAGAAATATCGAATACAGCTTGCCTTAGTTGGATGCCTTACGCTAAAATCCATATTTCTCGAAAACTAGTGCCTGTAGAGATCTGAAAATTTGCAGCTCAGAAGTCGGAGTTCTTTTGCATTTATTTTCTAGACAAAATTCAAAACAATCAGTATCTGCTTTTGAAACATAGCTAGTGTTTGTGGAAATTGTCTACATTTTATGCAGTTAATCGTGTTTCTCAAAAAATCAGATTGAAGCGTTAACGCGAAGGATATAGTTGCTGCGGCAACAAAACAGAAGATTTCTTTTTGAGAAGCAATTGCCATAGTTCTCATTTGTGTAAGCTCGAGAGGTGAAAGTGAGGCATAATATTAGAGTAAATAAACATGCTGTTGCAGAAAAATTGAGAGTTTTTTGTTTAGGACATTAAGGCTTGCAGAAAAAAAAATCCCAAAAGGCAGTTTTAGAATTTTTTGTTCTCCTTCAGCAGACTGCTTCGCCAACAATCTTCTCAATTACAGTTGTTGCATTATTGGCTTGTTTACACAATAAGCCAATCATCAGACGTATCGACAAAAATTAATGAACTTATGACTCACTAGAACAAAGTCTGACTAGTTCTCTTCTTTGATTCTTAATTCATGGTTCTCTACTCGTTTACGATACCAGTACTAACTGAGTGCTGAGTCGCAAAAGATCCACTGCTTACTCAAACAATCACACGGAACCTCCGCTGGGAATTCACAATTTGTGGTACCGCGGACACTCTTAACTATTGAAAAGGCCACATAAGGCATTGCGTGGGTCGGTCTGCTCGAGTGATGAACAAAAGCCAAGGCGCACTTCCGGGGAAGTGTGCAAAAGTTTTGAGGAAATTCCCCAAATCCGATGAAGTCCCGGTGAGTTCTACGCGGTCAGATCCAGGATAAATGATATGCAGCCAATCAATCGTTAAAGGCACCGTCTACCCAAATTCTCGACTTCCATGCTTTCTTGGTTTCGGAGCGTTCTCGTGTCCATGATTTCATAACTCAGATCGAGAATCCGCGAAAATCTTAATAATCACCGTTCCGTGAACTCGCGGGCGAGTTCTCCAAAACGGAGATTGGTTGGATGGGCACGAACGAGCGGGACGAAACGTTAGATCCACTCAAAGGGAGGAGTAAACGTGGCAAATCCGTCAGCCGAAGCTATTTTTAAAGCAATTTTATCGCTTCGGAAGCAAGTTTTGGCAGCAGTTGGGTAAGTGCACATTGGGAGCACCTTGCTGATTGGCATCATATGCCTACCTTAGGATGCTCCTACCTCCTACTCCATTTGAGTGGACGGTGCATTTAAGCTGATGCGCAGCCTGCACTAATTGTAAAACATAATCTTGTCGTTTTACATACTTGCTTAATCGTTTTTAATACGTATTCTTTTCGCGTTTTCGTGTTCCTCCCTTTGCTTTTCGCTCTCTGCGTCGCTCTTGATACAGTTGTAGCCAGGGTCAAACGTGGGGTGCGGCACGCCACACCTGGGGGGTCGTATTGAGGAGTCAAAAGGGGAGGGGGTCGTAGTTGGGTAATCGATAATAGTGATAACATGATATTCGTATCATATCCATAACTAGCAATTAACTAGCAATTTGTCAATTAACCCTTGTAGACAAAGTTTAAGCGAATTCTGAAGATTCAAGATACTAGGCTACCTAAACGAAATGGTTAGATTCCAACATGGTTAACTTTATTTCAAAGGTGAATTAGCTATCCGTTTTTGCACTCATGAGACAAAGCAATGCTTTCTCTTTGTCCACCTCAGGAATCTCGCTTGAGAAGACCTGCAAACTGTGGAATTAGAAGCCAAGCAAAACCTCGTTTTTCCTATTTTTCGCTTTTGATCGCTGTACTTTCACCAAATATTACTTAGAGCTAAGAAGACAAGTCAGACTCCAAACAGGCCCATGGAATCTACAAGGTTTAGGCTATCGATTTATATATATATATTCTCCGCTAGAAATGTTTTTTTTGATATAGTTAATGGGGTGCGGCACACCCCCTTAAAAGCTGCGGCTGCTGCAGCTTTTAAGGGGGTGTGCCGCACCCCATTAACTTGCCTTCAAAATCCAGAAAGCGCTCCATTGCTGGTATAGGTATTGAGCACATAGCTTCTTCTTGCTACATTGGAAATTTGGAGCCGAACGTCCCACCCATAAGAAATTTATGGCCCTTTCAATATGCTCATTCAGATCAAAACCAGCCGTCAAATTACGTGTGATTGTAAAGTGCAGTCACAGAAAATCGGGCGTACAGCTCTCAGAAATCCGAGAACTCTCTAGAAAAAGATGGTGTCCTCCAGAATGCCACACTTTGAGGTCCAGAGGTTAGGAGGAGGAAGGAGTGGTCGTCTGAGGGCTTTCATGGGAGGGGGGGGGGGTTCGAAAGACTTGTGCCTGACCTCCTTTTCAACTCTGGTAATGCTATCTTAGGTATATAGTTCAGGGGGGGGGGTCTTATCAAGAAGCAGTCAGGAGGGGGGGGGGGGGTCGTAACCAGCGATCGTGTGCCACACTATACTTTGGTAATTCGAGAATTTTTCATCGAATGAATGAATATCGAATAAATTCGAAAAGGAAAAATTTCGAATAAACGAACATCGAATAAATTCGGAAAATCAAAAATATCGAATGAATGAATTTCGAATAAATTCGGAAAAGCAAAAATATCGAATGAATGAATATCGAATATATTTGAACATTGGAAGTCGAATTTCGAATAAATATTCGAATGATTTATCGAATAACTAAAGCAATCACATCTCAAACTTGCCGACATATCTGGCTAGAGCCGATCCAATCATAATCAGCCCCTAGTATCCCTTATAGCAACTCCTTTTCCAAAAATTGCTGAAATCAGTAAAATAGATTTCGGTTTTAATCAGCATCCTCATTTACCCCCTGTACCAACTCCCAAGCTCGTAGGTCGAGATTTTCCAAAAATCGATAAAATTTAAAAGGAAATTTATCCATAATCAGTATCCTCACTTACCCCCTGTACCATCTCTCAAGCTCGTAGCTCGAGATTTTCCAAAAATCGATAAAATTTAAAAGGAAATTTATTTATAATCAGCACCCTGACTTACCCCCTTGTACCAACTCTCAGCCCCGCAGCTCAAACTTCCCCAAAAATCGATAAAGTCGGTCGGTCGGCATCTAGTCTATACATCAGCAAAAAGTCAGATTTTACTCATTATGGACGATCTAAAAAGCAGTCGATATAAATTTTTGTGCTGTGCCCAAAAGATTCTTCTTCAGATGGTTTGAAAGAGATTGATGTACACCAGAATTAACTTTATTTCTTATCAGCATCAACAGTGTAAAAGCAGAGGGCTTGCTCTACTTTCTACATCAATTAAAATCCATATATGGTTTTTTTACTGTTGCAAGCAGTCGGAAGAATGCGACTTTC